TACTTAGCAACAGAGAGTCTAATCTAGTTTTACATGTGTGCCACATGACCCTTTCCATACCTTACTGGGATTGGAAGGGCCCCCTGCCTCTCTTGGGGAAAATTGCTTCCAACATTTTGGAGACCGTTTACAATGTTTTTGTTCTTATGCTGCAAAGTTAACATTGCCCATAAACCTAATAGTCACACAGTAGTTAATAAGGGGCAGAAAGTTTTATAGTCTTTTCCGCAGTTGTTAAAAATCCTGCTACTGTAGTTCAGTCCCAGCCACACAAAACCTACCAGTTGTGAAAAAATAGGATGCTCTATGTGTTGGTTTATTCTTGGAAACCAATGGAAGAGAGGACCTTTCCTGAGCACCTAGCTGAACGTAATGAACTTGGGGATTATTTAAATTGCTTGGCTTGTAATATAAACACTCGAGGGCTTGCCAGCAGTGTACCTTCAGGATGTGTGACTTTTCTAAAAAAATCATTTGGGATTTTTTTTTTTCACAACCCATTGCAATTAGTGGCACTATGGCAAAGGATGATTTATTAAATTGCCTTTCAGTTAGAGGAAATAGAAACCATTAATGATGTTGCACATGCATTTTTAGTCAGGTTCAGCAAGAATAATTTTCTAGCTGTCTTTGTATGTTATGTAAACTAAGAACATTCCCAGGGTACCAGCTGGATCATCCTTTGGGCCCTGTAGACCTTCAGAGTGGTTTTGACCTTCTCCTGCTGGAAAAGATGCTGTGGAAATGAGGTACTCCTCGAAGTTAGTGAGACTTCCAGACTCAAACATGAACTGAAATGGGCTCAGATGCAACTAGGCATTGACTACTAGTACCCTTTGGACACACACTTACTTCTGTTCCTTTACCATGTGAACAGGGAGCAGGGAAGGCTAGAGCTGGGGCAGAGTGGTCCCTGGAATAAGTGGCAGACAGGAACAGCTCTGATAAGAAACAGTTTAAAAATTTTTCTGAAAGGGAATTTTCAATGCCTCTGTTAATAACTTAACAGTTACATAAACAAACAACGACAAAAACTTGCAACCATTAATAATCCAGAATATTTTTCTCAGAAGGTACCTGTTCTGCTAGTACATGGAAAACTATTATAGAGATTAGTACGCAGTAGTGAAGAGTGGAGGCAGAGAGGAATAAAAAAAAGCTTATTTTTAAAAAAACTAAATACTATGGACACCATGAGCTCTTAAGCAGAGCAGAGCAGAGTTCTAATTACTTGGCTGCCATAACTTTACTTCAGTGCTTAAAATGTGATTTCCTTTAGATTTCATCTTCTACCTATCTTGCCTGGGATTGCAGATCACTTTCTATTACATTTCTAAAATGGATTTTTCCACAGCTTACCAGTGTGTACTTTTTTACTTACAGCTTAACATTGTTCTCCCCTGCCATCTCTGAGAAAAAGGATGTGGGTTATCTTGGATAAGCTTGGCACTACCAACACATTGCGTTTTGCATCCTCTGAAAACTGTGTGTAGTCGATGGAGTAGGATTCTGCAGGTTTGGTGCTCAATTTAGTGGGATTTTTTAATGCAGGGAACAGATAGTTTAACAATGAAGGGTGTGAAGGGTGTGATGTGTTAGTGGTGGGCAGATGCTTCGAGGGGAAAAGCCCATGAACAGGGTTAGAGCTCCACACTTACTTCCCTGTGCACTGTGCCAAAGTGTTACCCAAATACCATTCTATAATAGAAGTCTAAAAAGGAAATGGTACTATTCATTAAGTAATTTCTGACCCATTGCCTGACTACACTACTGGATTAATTTTGAAGCACAGATATGGGAGTACCCTTGTAGTTATCTGTCTAAAAATACAGCACTACCATTTCTGTGTTGGTTTTTAAAGAGTGGTTGCATAAAACTTTATCAAGATGCTTAATACACTGTACCATGATCTCCTTGGGCTGGAAAAATAGCACTGCAGTGATTGCAATGCCTTCAAGGTCTGGCACACTCTGTGCTCTGGACGTGATTCTGCACGTTTGAAATTCCCATAGCTGGCAGGCTGGATGCTAATGGAGTGGGAAGGGATAGGAGGTAGAAGCAGGTCCCTGTGCCTAAGTCACCCCGCACAACCTGGCTTCCTTGCTCTTTGGGGCTCTGCACACCTGGTCTGGTGCCAAACACTTTCTGCTCAACCGTAGGGGTAAGCCGGAACATCCTCTTTGTTGTCTTGAAGAAGCTGTGGGGAGAGCAGAAGAACTCCTTCCCTGACGTGCTCCTGGATTCCCTAAAACTATATACAGCCCTTCAGTACAGGTCTGTCCCGAAGGTACAGTCTGCTGCTGTCTGACAGGCTTCTCCTATCAAGAACTCAAGTGTTGCTCTGAAAAAGAGACTTGTCTTTGTCTGGTAAGTTTGTTCTCCTTGATCCCAAAACCACTGAAATCAACAGTGTTTTGAAGTCAATTTCCACTGATTTCCATGGTCTGGAGATTAGATTTCACTGTCTTTTCAGCTCTGAGTCTCAACAGTTCCTGACCGCCTCAATCTGGATCTTTTTGTCCCTCCTGCGGGATAAAAAGATGCTATTTAACATGACGAGGTCTAAATAACTGGGCACTGTGCATGGAAACTACAGCTCTATTGTCAGCCCCATTTCACAGGCAAGGAAGCTGTATCTGAAATCATACCTCCAAATTGCAGCAAAGCCGAGAACAGAATCCAGCTTTCATTCTGTAGATATCCTACTATAAGGAAATATTTCAGCCTCATTTTAATTCGCAAGTATTTCTAAATATCTTCCCTTAGCCATAGTCTCTTGCAAATGCGGCTGTGAACTGGAAATGTTTCGTGTTCATTTTCCTGTTGCATTGCTTTTTTTTTTAAATTATTTTATTTTCCTTGTTAGTTGCAATCATTAACAGTTTGTGAATAAATCAATTATGGGTAAAAATATACTAATAGGTAATAGAGCTTTTCTTTTTTTTTGTGCTGATTGAGGTAGAATAGTACAGCAAAAATGCAATGCACTGGTATTTTCAAACTGAAATGCAGTATTTTTTTCCCAAAGCTGTGCTGACTTACAAGCCTACAACACTCATAACTTTGACTAAGAATTAGGCTCCTTAAAAAGCAGACTGAGACCCCTCTCAGATTTTCCATTACTGAGGAAGTATCTTTAGTTCAGCAACCAGTCAGGGGAGGCAGTTAGAGAGCTATATTGTAAGTGACACTTTAGAATCGTAAGTTTTTTCAGTATTTATCAACCGTTGTATTTTCAGCTTGAAGGTACCAATGTTTTTGTGTCATGTAATAAATTACAGAATGTTTACATGCAATTAGGTATGTGCCTATGGAGGAGAAAACACTGGGAAACAGGATTTTCCAGAGGCAGTAGCTAGTTCAGAGGCCCAGAGTCACTGCAGTAGCTGTTGTCAGGGAGGACTGAGTGGCAGTTCTAATTACCAGTGTCTACACAGGTTTCTCATAGGAAGATACAAGCTGTCACGATCCCTTGCCAATCACATGAGAACTGACCTAGGGAGAACATCAACTGAAGGTGAGTGTACATATCCAATAAATCCAGTCCCCACTGCATTAGCTTATTTTTAGGATTGTCCTGAAAAGACATTCAGCCTGTATCATAAAACCTTCAACTGAGCAGAAAATACACAGAATGATGATGACTTTAAATTTGGGTTCTTGCCCTCTGGGGCAGTGCTTCAGATACGATGTGATAATGTACTGAATGCTGAAGGAACGCAGAATCTCGAGATGAGTTCATAAAGACAAAGCATTTCTGCAATGTCGGTGCTCTCCTAATCAAAGGAAGAAAAATAAATTTTATCCTTAATTTTACTGCAAATGTTATACTTAATTTGCAGTGAAACTATGTTTTCTATGTAAGATATTTCTCAGAAACAGAATGTTTAAAGTTAGCACATAAATTCATGCTTGCAACTGATACACCTTTTTCTGATTTTTTTCACCTTCTTCCATTGAGTGTATTACAGACTTGTTCTTGAACATAGTTTAGACAATACATGTGTCACAAGCAATGATGAATCAAAGAAAGAAAGCATCCAGAAAGGGAAGTTAACTAGACAGGTAGGACCTCATCAGCATCACATTCTGTTCCATAGCTACAATAACAATAATTGAGTCAGACACATGGATTTTTAAGTGCCTCTTAAAGAGGAAAGTTAGGAGAGACACTGTGGAAAGAAAATTATATACTGAAATGTGGCATCTCCGTTTTGCAGCTGCCAACCTCACTCTGTCAGTAGCCACAGCTGTTGCCTTTTCTTCTAAAGTTAGCAGGGGATGGGTAAAACTAAAGAGAAGCAGGGCACGTACTTTAGCTGATAAGGAGGTGTGGGTCCAAGTCCCTCTGTGTAATCAAAGTAAATCTTTAATAAGTTTGAACTCTTGAAAGAGAGGTAATTTATTTTTGTGTTGATAGAAGCTGGCACCAGGGAGATGTGTACCTGCCTTGTGGGTGGATTCACTCTCAGGATGTTCCTCACAGCCCTTCCTGCACCACTTAGGTTTTCTCAGGTTCTGCTGTTTTGCCACTTGTGTTTTGTCCATCTTGGGCAGCACACTTGCTCACTGTCAGCTTTCCCACTGCCTGAAGGAGAATATTTGTCCAAAAAAGGAGGAAATCTACTCTCTCATTCTGCTGCTGATTGAATATGGGCTTTTAGCATGTGGTCCTCAACACTAAAGTAAAACCTGGTGGATTTCAAATCTGGAGTGCTGAAAATACAGGCTTGTTATATCAGAACTTGATGTCATTCATACCAGTTTTCAGTAAAATACTGCAATACTCTCACTGAATTTGTGTGGCTGTTTATTTTTGGGGTTTTTTTAAGTGTCATCTTTGGACAGCATGAGTCTAAATATGAATATTTACTTCTTTTTTTTTTTTCCTCGCCCTTGGGTTGCAGAAGAAAATGTGGAGACGTGACCTGACATTCAAAATGAAACACTAAGACTGAAACGAATAATCCACCACTTGTGATTTACTTTTTCAGTATTTTTTTTTAAAAGCCAGTTCTCTGCTCTTTGATCTGCTGCCTTGGGATTTCTGAGTGCTTTATCTTTCCATGTGACAGTCACCTGCCAGTGATGATTTCGGTAGGTGAACAAAATGCTGATGTAGATAATGGAAGACACGATCCTTTCCCCCATTCACAGTAGTCTGAAGTACTCTGGGCCTTGGCATAAGATCATGAAGGGTATTTATGGTGCAAAGTTCTGCTGATGTAGCACGGGAGGGCTCTCTAAGGTCGCCAAACCTGGTGTGGTTTTGACCTATAAGAAACAGTCGTGGGGCAGAGTTTCCTGCTGAATGAACTTCAGCTCAGAGGGATGCAGCTGGCTCCTTCCAACACAGAAGATGGGAGTGATTTAACATGAGATGTGGATAATCAGGAGAGAAGTGGGAATACGACTGGCTGACAATAAGAGATACAGCCTGCACATCCTATGGGTGAACTTCACTGGGGGATAAAATCCTCTCTGCACCAAGCAGGAAAATGCATGTTGATGGCGAGCCACTGTATGAGCCACTAACTGTGAAGGAAAGAAGGTCCTAAGGAAATAGAGGAAATGTGGATGTTTGTGTCATATACAGAAAATTTGGCCTGGCCTGCATGCCAGATGATATCCCTGCATCTGGTGAAGCTGAAGATGCTGAGAACAAGGATAGGAGGAAGGGGACCATACCCCAGTTAGATCTATGCACAATGTGTAGTTGAATGAAATAAAATATATCTAGAAAAATGATTGATGAAGACTAGAGCTCATAACTCCTGGGGTAATTTTGTCACTTTTATCTTCAGGGTGGAGATCACTACATGCCAGGCTGCATTCCTTCATAGCATCTGAATCATTCTTATTGTCTCCACAAGCTGAAAATGAGAAACAGACTGGCAAGAAAGTTAAAATTTTCAAGGTGGATGGAGCAGAGAACAGCCTTATTTGTTTTGTTTGGGGGTTTTTATTTTAAGATTAAAAGTTCCTGTTGCATTTTTGCAGACAATAATACACTGGATTTTATGATTCCTCTATTTAAAACAAAACTATTGGTTTCCTAGATTTAAAGAGAAATAAGAGCACCTGAATAAAAGGGCTTACTTCAGTGCTGTCTATATCCATCCTGGCTTTCCGTGAGATGCACGAGGGAGAAATATTTCCAAGGCACCAGTGGTTGCCATATCCTGTATGCAAAAAGATTCCATAAATGTCTGAAAACAGATGGAATGCAACTTTGGAGGAATAAATGGATTTTTAATTTTCTGAACATTTTGGATTCCATCTGGTTGAAGTAACTAAGTGACCTACTAGAATACTTTTACCTTTCTTGTATAATAGATAGAAATACAGCTTGCATTGCTATTGACTGACACATTCCCCATTAATAAATGGGGTTTACTTGCTCATACATTTGCTTATTTTTAACTCTTTTGCCCTGTGTGTCAGGGGATACCTGATGCACCTCTTCCTGCATGTCAGACCTAGATGTTGGCTCTCTCTCATGATTTGTCCTTGCAGCTGGTAAGGAGGAGCTCTAAACCACCTGCCTAATCCCACCTGTCAGTAGTGGAAGCCTAAAGAGATAACACACCTTAGACTTATATCCTTTTTTTTTTTTTTTTTTTTTTTCTGCAAGCATTGGCACGGGGCAAAAAGAAAAATAAAATGTTCTTAATTTCCTGTCTTGCTTAAAGGGAAAGAGTAAGAATGAGGTAAGAATGAGTAGGGGCTTTTTGTAGAGGTACTAATAAGGTGGATTATTTTCTGTTTACTGTTTTTTGTTACTGCCATTTAGAATGTTGTTAAATGAATAAGAGTAAATACATGTGTGTTTTTTAAACAGGAAATGAGCATTTCTCTACGAGTAGGAAACACAGGCGACTTGAACTCACAAGAAAGAAGTCATAAAGTATATTACTCTCTATAAAAAATGGAAGACCTAGTTATAGAAAAGACACCATTTTTGTGCCTTTCACTTGTTACCTTTCCCTGCTTCAGTAAAAGGTAAAACCCAAATCTGTTCACTCCCCTTGAGAGAGAAAATGAGTCTTTTAAATCACTAATTTTAAGCCTGTACTTAAAGTTGCACTACTTATGAGGCTGATTATTTATGATTTCCATATTGCCATTCAGAAACTTGTACTGAGAATAAGTATTTCCATGCTGATAAGTTCATGAGCAATAGTTAGTAAGATATTGTCAATGTGTTTGGTATTAGTTTTCATATTTTTTGGCACTTGGGAACATTTCTCAGGGTTCTTGCTATGAATATGGATAAACATTCCAAAGAATGGGGAATGACAGCCCCCCTTTTTTTTTTTTTTGAGGGATGGTAGTGAGACTCTTTTCCCTTTCTGGAAGCAAGTATATTTGTGTTTCATTAAAAGCTGTTGCATTTTAGGATCACAAGTTTCAGTCTAGCAAAAAGCCTGAAATCATTGAAAGATTTCCCTTGTGCCTGACACATTATTGCTATGTAAAGAAGTGTGCTTGCTGGGTCCTTAATAGGACAAAATATAGCATTTCCACTGCAAATAACTTTTATATAAAAATCTGGTCACCGTAACCCCATAATTCAAAGTAGGCTTTCAGGCTTTCTCCCTGAAATTTGTGATTATGAACTTCTGAGGGCTGGCAAGAACACACACTGGTGCAAGCCAGCAAAACTCCGGACACAGCGCAGTCGTGTTTTGAGTGTCTTTTGCTGGGATCCGGGAATAAGCTTGCCTTGTATGGCATTGAGACAATTGAATTCTCCTTTGCATTATACAGTTATATAATTGCATTACTGTCTCCCAAGCCTTTTTGCCCCCATAAATGATTAAAACTGCTGTTGCACAAAGACTTGGGAGACGCATGTAAAACTCCTTATACAGAATGTGAGTGGCTGAAAGACTCGCCAGCTGCCAGCATTGAGGATTTGCTGTTTCGTGATTTTTCTGAGAGTTTAGAGTGTTCTAAAGAGAAGTCTGTATCCTGCTAATAGTACTGATCACATGTTCTCTCATTTGTATAATTGAGAAAATTAACAATATAATGAAAACAGCTCCATCTAAATAAGTTCTCTACCCACAGTTAATAAAATAGTACCTGTCCGCAGAGACAGGAATTTCTCTGCAAATGCTTTTAGTTAAACAAAGCATTTTGTGTACCTACAGTAAATGTGATATTTATTTTTTCATTATTCATGAAACAACTTTAATGTCACTGCTGATTTTCCTGGTAGGATGTTCAGCTCCAGCATACCAGAGCTCATGCTGAGCTGTAGCTGAAGATGTCATTCACAATAAACATGAGCTGCTGTGACAATACGATGGCAGAAGGTGAAGAATCTCTTTCCTTGTGCAAGGGCGTGCATGTGTCTCTCTCTGTGTGCGAGAGGGAGAGAAGGAAAGAGATTTGATTGTGTTTACAAGATTCATCTGTGACACAGCAGGTAGTAGTCACATTGTAATAGTCACCTTAACGCAGATAATTTGATTTTCAACCTGGTTATCATGCATTTAGACATAACGATACGTGAAAATATATGCTTTAGAAGTGCATTTTAAACAAGGTTGCACACTTTAGGTGGGAATATATTAGAGGTAAGCATTGATTTTTGCAATTCCTGGAAAGCATTCTTCAGTCTGTGTTACTAGGAGGAAATTACTAGGAGGAAAGCAAATTCTGATGGATAAATCTCAGGGATTGCTACCATTTTTGGGCTGAACTCAGCAGGATGGGCCTCCCCAAATTTGACATCTCTAAAACTGTACAAATTTCTCCCATTTGAGAGCTTCAGGTACTAATAGAATTTCACTTCTTAGTTTCAGGTTGTCTTCTGACTGGAAAACAAAGAGTCAAAAAGTCCTGTGGCCTTTCTGCCCATTACACTGCAAGGAAGACAAACCGCCTGGTCATAGGACGAATGTTGTCTTGGGTCACCATCAAGATCCTGACCTGCCTAGCTGATGTGACACAAGGAAAGAGGTATGTTGATGTTTGTCAAGAGCAGAGCCTCATTACTGCGTCCTGGAGTAGCCTGAGAGATAAGGGGATCTATCAGCAGTTTAATCATAGTCGTAACACACTCACTTTCATGCAAGACAAAAAAGAATCTGCTGTTTGCACCGTGAGATTTCAAGCTCCATTTAAATCTAAAGACTGTGGACGTGGTTGGGCATGATTTTGTGAATCACCTAGAGCACATTTGCACAAACAAAAGCAGGCATAATTCTCCTGAAGTCGATAGAGTTGAGCGTGTTTATACGAATGGGGCATTTGGCCCAAATCCAGTTGGAGTCTTTGCAGTATAACGCCTCTGAATCTTCAGAGGTTTTCTTAGAGTCATTAATATTGAGGCTCTATGTACCCAAGGTAATTATCCATTACCGCTTGAGCCTGGACCAGGAATTGTTTCATGACATCTTGCCTCATTAGTATAACATAATGGAAAAAAAACAGAAAGAAACTAGAAACTAGGAAAATAAGGCTGCTAAAAGGAGAAGAGTGTGAGGAAAACAAACACAGTGGGGTGAGGTCCTCTGATGGTGTAAATCAGTATCACCTTCTGTGAGGCTCTGCCAATTTACACCCTGTGATGCTCTGGCCCATGATTATTAGGAAAGTATGTTGTTGATATGCTCTATAATGGCTTCCATTACCAGCCCATGCTAAAAGAAGCAGCTGGTGAAAGTTATGTTTATGTTCCACAGATGGATCAGCAATGGCAGACACATAGCTCTGTGTCTGGTAAACAGGTGTTTTACTTTATATTCGCTAGCTAGCCAGAAGAAGCCAGATTCTTGGTGAGGGGTGTAGGCAAAGGAGATCAATTTAGTTGTTGAAAAGGAAAAAGCAATGCTTTTTGGTTGCACTTTATTTTCTTCTTATATAGTGAGTAATGTCCTGAAACCCATCCTAATCTAAGTGACTGGGGGAAAAAATTATCAGAGGAGCAAAAATCCCAAAACTTACATCCAAATGACACTGTCTCATCTCCATCCTTACTTGCCCATTTTCAGCAGGAGACGGGATCACTTTGGTTTCAGACAAAGTAAAAGGTGCCTACAATGGAGTCAAAGCTTCCCATGCCAGAGGAGCAACTTTGCCAGTTGCTGCAGTGCAGAACGGGACTAGTTGATATTATAGCAGAGATTAGCTATGCCTTTGGTGGGAGGTGGAAATATAATCCTCATTTTAATAAGTAACATTTTGCAAACCAATTCTGACACCTGTAAATTTAATACTTACATGGCCAGTGTAGAAGGAGAACAATTGCTTTTCAGCTTACTCAAGATAAACCATTTATTTTGACTGTGTTTATTCATTTCTGATTGCCCAGAAAACCAAAAAGTGGCTGGGATTTTTTTCTGGTCTCTGAATGGCACATACTTCTAGATGGCAGAATGGCAACACATAAACTCCTGGGTGAATATCATTCTGGCTAAAATTCCTACTCCTGGGTGAATATCATTCTGGCTAAAATTCCTTAAACTCTGAGGGTTTGGGAGCATTTTCACAAGTACCCAGCAGTAGGCTGAATATTCATTAATAACTAATATTATGCCTCTGTGAATCATAGTGATCCAGATTCAGCACTTCCAGTTGCAAATCAGATCATCTGATTCTTTGACCAGCTCTAGGGAAAGCTCCTTAGCATGTAATGCAAAGAAGTAGCCTAAGGGAAGAGAGCAGGCTGGCATCATTTGCCTAAAACTTTCCCACACTGCTATTGGGTGTTGATCCTTCTGGTTAAATGCATCCTACTGAGTCCTTGAAACCAGTGGCCAAGGCAGGCACAAGTGATTCTCCAAGAGAAGGGGTGACTCAGGGAGTGGGAAGAGTAGCTGAGACAGCTGAAGAACCTGGGGTGGGTCTGAAGAGATGTTCACCCTCAGTGTGGTTAGCTCATTATCACACCTGTTTTATTGAAACCAAACTGCTCAAAGGGGCAGCCTTGGAATCGGTGTGTTGTGTCAGGGAGGTGGCTGTTGGAATGAAGTGTGAGCAGCTCCTGGTTCTGAGCTTCTGTTGCAGAAGTAATATATGAAGGAATAGCGAGAGCAGCAGGTGTTGTCAAAATTTATGGGTGAGCAGCAAGCCCAGGCAGCAGCCCCACAGGAAGAGCAGTGACAGCTACTGCAGCAGATGGTCTCAAGAATTATGAATGTGGGACCTATCCCCAGCTGCCCCTATAACTCGGTCCTTCTTGAGCAGGAACCAACAAGATGTTGACTACAGAGTCTACAGAGTCAAGTTGAGCAGCAAGACTGGGTGTGGTCAGGACAATCAGCCACTCCAGCTCCGTGCTGGACCAGCCTGACCAGAGCTGTACATATTGATCCTCCAGCAGTGGTGCTGCTGCTGGCTATGAGAGGTACATCTTGAACCAGTTGGGAATCCCAGAATAGAAGTACTGATAAAGGCTCATGGAGGAATTTAACTACCCAGACATCTGTTGAGTAACAAATACAGCTGAACATGCATCATCGCAGAGGTTCCTAAATTATAGTGAAGACAACTTTATGATCCAGAAAGTAGAGACTCCTGAGGAGAAGCCATCCTGGATCTACAGGAGTATATTAATGAAATTTGCAGATGAAACTTTGCAAGTGCATTAAAAATACAGCAGCACTGTGTTTTAGGATTGACTTCAGCAGAGTATCATATGTGTTTAGAAAGAACTGTCTCCCTCATCTGCTTATTAACTTTTACCATCTCACAAGTAAACAAAAGCTCAAGCCTACCTTTCCCTGTCTTTAATCCTATTTGCATCATCCACGCATGCCAGACATTTGAGATCTGCAGACTCTTAACTAATATACTTTGCAAACATCTCTCTTGGACAACACAGCTCATGAGAGAGACCAAGAGAACTACAAAAATTGATGGATGATAGCACTATGCCATTTGCCTTCAAAAATGCAAGTGCATACCTTTGCAGAAAACAAATCATTTGAAACAAATGTTGAAGAGGATGAGGAATCTTAAGAAGCAGAAATATTGAAAAGATAATAATGAACAGCAAATAAGGCATGAGTTTTCAATAAGGCACAATAGCAAGGGAGGTCTATAAAATTTTGGAGTACAAACAAAGAGATATTACATCACAGGGTAAAGTTTAAATGAGGGGTTTTTTCCTTTTTGGTTTCAGGAGATATAAAATGGGCTAACACACTGAAATGAGAAGCAAAAAGGTTACACTGATTATAATGATGAACTGACAGAAGAACTTCTGAATTTTTGAAATATCTTCTAGAAGTTTTGATTTATAACACTTCATGGAAAAAAGAAAAGGAAAGCCAACAAAAAGACCACAAAGCTTGATTTTTATTCTGAAACAAGGGAATCTGTGAAATCTTAGGGGGGAAAATATCTCTTAAAATTTCTCACATAAATCAGCTAAACTTTGCAATTCTCAAAGAAAAAGCAGCCCTAAATTAATCCTGTTTCATTCCTCAGATTCAATACAGGGATAATGCCAATTTTTGTCTCTAGTGATTCATTTTGTTACATCTGGAGAGTGTGTCTTTCAAAAATTTAGGGGGGAAAAACCCCAATGGAGTTTTTCTTCTTTCTTTCCAAGTTTTAATTCGATGCATCCGTTTCTCTATTACAGTTCTCTCTCAAAGTTTATTGTCTCAAACACTATGCAACAAAACCTTTTTTGTTACCTTTCTGAAGGTAACGGTTCAATTTACATTTGTAGCAGCAAGGTATGGTCATGTCAGCAGGATGGCAACCTTAGTAATCTTCCTGCTAAAATCCTGTTCATTAGCTTTATGATAAAATATGTATGTGGTATAAATATTTCCAGAAAAGAACAAATCTTTGCACTTGTCTTTGTTAATCCTGACATCTGCTATGGGTCCCATAGAAAAAGAAATCTACCTGCAAAAGTTATTCCATTTCACCACTGTATTAAAACTATTATCAAATGGTTCCACTCCACCCAATTAAAGGCTTACTCAGCATCTAATGGTAATAACATTCGTGGTCTTGAGCCTTTGCTTGTTCGAAGTTTTTAGACCCCCCCCAAAGCATCACCTAAAAGGTCACTGAGGGGTCAAGGAGTGTTCAGCTCTTTGATGAGAAAGAACCAAAAGCTCCTTTTAATCTTAATATTCGACTTCAATGCACACACACAGACACACACACAGACACACGAAAGAATAAATATTCTAAGGAAGACTGATCTCAGTCCAGGCACAAGCAATAGTGGAAGACTTTTTTTTTTGTCAAAGGTGCAATATGGGAACTACCTTTGCAAGCAAGGAATTTGGAAAGAGATGAAAAAATGAATGAGAATCCCTCTCTGGTTATTACTTCTTTCTGAATTCCAGTTCGAATTGGACTCAGACAAAGAAGATAGAAGACAAGCACACTATCAACAAGACAGCAGCAGTGATATACAAACCACCACTAAGGAACTCCCTTTATGTGTCTAGGGAGCCCTTCTAAAGAGAGCCCACAAACACATGCCTGAAGGCTCTGCTTGCTTCAGGCTGGATGGATTTACTTGATGTTCTTGCTCAAAGTCAACTTGTAATCTACAAGTCCAGTCTCATATTAAGAAAAGAAACAAAACCTAAAGGTAAAAAAAGGGCAACAGAATCTCTATCAACCTGAAACTTAAATTTTTCTGTTTGCTGCACCTGAGCTGGCTTGCACAGTCACTGAACTGAGTCTCTTCAAGGTTTCAGCACTGCAGTGGAAGCAAAGAACACAAAGAAAAGTCACTTGTGGATCCCAATTTCTACGAGGGAAGGTAGAAAAGGCTCTGAACTGTCCCCGAGCAAGGTTATTAACTTGAAAAACACTTAGCTGAAACTCTTTCCTGGTGCATTGACTCATGCCCTCCACTTCAGCAAAGCCAGATTACAGTGATTTGCCAACGATTTTGTGGCTGCAAAATGCAGGAAGGTATTTTAATTGCATTTTCCCCTGTGATCAGTTCTGTTGCCATATTCTGTGGTTGAGAA